ATTCCTGGAGGGCCGGAGCCCTGCAGAGTTTTGTTCCAACCCTGCTCTAACACACATACCATATAGTTTTCAACTAAGCCTAAAGGACTTGATTAGTTGGATTAGGTGTGCTTAATTAGGGTTGAATCTAAACTCTGCAGGGCTCTGGCCCTCCAGGAACTGAGTTTGACACCCCTGCTCTAGACCCAATCCCCTCACACCTTCTCCAAGCAATCTCTCCTACACTCTTACCAGCACTCGCACACATCATCAACACATCTCTCCTCACAGGCACCTTCCCCACTGCAGTCAAGCAGGCTCGGGTAACCTCACTGCTCAAAAAACCTACATTAAACACTTCACTTATAGATGGCTACAGACCTGTCTCTCTCCTTCCATTCATAGCGAAAACCCTCGAACGAGTTTTTTTCAACCAGGTATCATTGTTCCTTTCACAGAACAACAAACTGGACGCTAACCAGTCAGGTTTCAGGAGTGGCCATTCAACTGAGACTGCGCTACTGTCAGTCACGGAAGCCTTGCGGATTGCAAAAGCTGATTCCAAATCATCAGTTCTAATTCTGCTGGATCTATCTGCTGCTTTTGACACTGTCAATCATCGGATCCTCCTGTCCTCCGGATCCTCATGGTACACCCTCATCACTGGGCATCACAGGGATTCCACTTTGCTGGTTTGAAACCTATCTCACTGGTAGGTCTTTCAGGGTGACCTGAGGAGGTATCCAAAGCACAGCACATCAACTTGTCACTGGGGTTCCTCAGGGATCAGTTCTTGGACCCCTCCTCTTCTCCATATAAACTACATCACTGGGTCCCATCATACAGGCACATGGCTTCTCCTACCATTGCTAAGTTGATGACACAGCTCTATCTCTCATTTCACCCAGATGATCCAATGATAGCTGCACGGATCTCAGGCTGCCTGGCGGACATTTTGGCATGGATGACAGAACATCACCTACAGCTTAACCTGGCAAAGACTGAGCTTCTTGTCTTCCCTGCCACTCCAAGATTTCACCATCCAGCTAGGTTCTTCTACAATTACCCCATCAACTTCGGTCAGAAATCTTGGTGTAATCTTTGATGACCAGCTGACCTTCGAAGACCACATTGCAAAGACTGCTCGATCTTGCAGGTTTGCACTACACAACGTCAGAAAGATCAGGCCCTCTTCTAACGGAGCATGCTGCACAACTTCTTTTCCAGGCCCTTGTAATTTCTAGGCTGGACTACTGCAATGCTCTTCTGGCTGGACTTCCATCAAGCACAATCAAACCTCTACAAATGATTCAGAATGCAGTGGCATGACTGGTTTTCAACGAGCCCAAAACAGCCCGTGTTACACCTCTCCTTATGTCCTTGCACTGGCTACCGGTTGCGGCTCGCATTAAGTTCAAGACACTGATGCTTGCATATAGAACAGCCACAGGCTCAGCACCCGCCTACTTCCAGTCACTATTATGAATCTACATCCCCTCCAGAAGTCGGAGATCTGCTAGTGAGTGACGCCTCGTGGTATCATCACAGAGAGGCTCGAAATCACTTTCCAGAACATTCTCGTTCACCATTCCTGGCTGGTGGAATGATCTTCCCACCCCTATCCGGAATGCTGAATCCTTGACAATTTTCAAGCGACAGCTGAAAACTCACCTGTTTTGACACTACTTGACTTCATCCTAAATTTAAAAAAATATATATTTTTCTTTATTTATTCCTTCCCTTTCTAGCTTGTACTGATTTAAACGATGCCTGAAACTTGGTATTGCGAGCACTTCCTGTGACTGTGTGCCTCTTTAAGATGAATCACTTTATGTATTCCCCAATTGTAAGTCGCTTTGGATAAAAACGTCTGAAAAATTACTAAATGTAATGTTTTTAGCAGTTACGTTGTGAAATGACACCTTCTAAAATGAATGAAACTGCTTATGACCAATAGCCTTGATCATAACTAGTGTTGGAATATTTGTCATATTTCACGTTATTGCCTGTACCACAGAAAACTTTTTTTTTTTTGAACTGTTGAAAGAGAACATGTTTTTTTTTTAAATATGAAACAGCCTAATTAGCCTAATTAATTATTACTTTCACCCAAAAGTCATGATTTAGACTCAAAACCATGTTTCAGCTTGTCAACATTGTCTTCTGTGAGATGTGCTACTTCTGCTTATTTTTTTTAATACACAGTTTGTGTTTGAGAGCAATGCCAAACTTATTAAATAGTAATTTATTAATTTCTCAGATCTTTATCTCCTTGCACTGGCTACCGGTTGCGGCTCGCATCAAGTTCAAGACATTGATGCTTGCATATAGAACAGCCACAGGCTCAGCACCCGCCTACTTCCAGTCACTATTATGAATCTACATCCCCTCCAGAAGTCGGAGATCTGCTAGTGAGTGACGCCTCGTGGTATCATCACAGAGAGGCTCAAAATCACTTTCCAGAACATTCTCGTTCACCATTCCTGGCTGGTGGAATGATCTTCCCACCCCTATCCGGAATGCTGAATCCTTGACAATTTTCAAGCGACAGCTGAAAACTCACCTGTTTTGACACTACTTGACTTCATCCTAAATTTAAAAAAATATATATTTTTCTTTATTTATTCCTTCCCTTTCTAGCTTGTACTGATTTAAACGATGCCTGAAACTTGGTATTGCGAGCACTTCCTGTGACTGTGTGCCTCTTTAAGATGAATCGCTTTATGTATTCCCCAATTGTAAGTCGCTTTGGATAAAAACGTCTGCAAAATTACTAAATGTAATGTTTTTAGCAGTTACGTTGTGAAATGACACCTTCTAAAATGAATGAAACTGCTTATGACCAATAGCCTTGATCATAACTAGTGTTGGAATATTTGTCATATTTCACGTTATTGCCTGTACCACAGAAAATTTTTTTTTTTTTTGAACTGTTGAAAGAGAACATGTTTTTTTTTTTTATATGAAACAGCCTAATTAGCCTAATTAATTATTACTTTCACCCAGAAGTCATGATTTAGACTCAAAACCATGTTTCAGCTTGTCAACATTGTCTTCTGTGAGATGTGCTACTTCTGCTTATTTTTTTTAATACACAGTTTGTGTTTGAGAGCAATGCCAAACTTATTAAATAGTAATTTATTAATTTCTCAGATCTCATCATTGAATGTCAAATTACAGTGATTAACAGATACATGATACAATAAGGTTTTACAACATTTTTACAAGTGTGGTCACTTTGTCATTGCAATAAGCAAAAGAAAAAGAAAGAAAGAAAATAAATTATAATAGCAATAAAAATCCCATTTTTTTTTTATCTTCATGCAATAACACTCATGAATCTTCCATAAACCGTATCAGACATCTTCAAACCTCAGCTGTGAACCGAACAAGTAATTTAAGTCAACAAATATTTATCTCTCTCAAAAATGTAGCATTTTACATTTAAATATACCATTTATGGTAAACAGTGTAGCATCAATGCTAACAAAGTGTCTATGACATTGTAAATTATATCATAAAGTCAAGAGGGATATAAAGGAGTCAAATATTTTAAACATTTCAGTTAATATTCTGTGATGATATTAATATATAACTTTATATGAAGGTTAAAAATAAACATAAAATTATCATTAAAAAAAAATAATGAAAAAAGATATTTTTCACAATGAGACCACTATTTAACAAAAAATAGTGTAAAAAATTGCCACAAGATATTCCTTTGTAAAACCCTCACTATCAAAGACACTGCAACAGTTCTTTCTGATAGTACAAAAAGACCATCCAACATTTGCTTTTGAAATAGCAGCTTGATAAAACTGAACAGTAAGCAATAAGACTAAAACAATGAATGTTTAGACATTAAAGTGACAAATAATATGTGAAAAATAAATTTTCCTCATCAGTACGCTTAAAAAAAGTCCTTCAATTAAAGAAACAGGAATCAAGAGAGCATGAAACAGTTATTATGCGCAAACAGGTGTAAGGCTCTTATGTACACAGATTTTTTTTTTTCAATGCTAATGCCAAATCGAAAACGAATGGAATGATGGATATTAAAATAATATGCTGAAATGTATTCTTACACAGCCAATGCTAAAGTTTCATACAACACAAAGCCCTTTCACACGACTCGTCAACATTCCCTAATGCATTGAACTCTGTAAGTCTACAGCGTCATACTGGTCTTGTGTTGTGTGCAAGACAGACTTTTTACTGATGCTGAGTGTTAAAACAATTTTAAATCCACTTTCTGCTGGCATTTCAAAATGCAGTTCATGGTTACTGAACAATTTGCAAGATGTATCATTATGTGGGTGGTTTAGCCGTACTAGATACATCAAGTACAGCAAAATGCCAAACGCTGTTCCATGCTAAAAAGAACATCATTTGATGTTTTGGTAGGCTGATTCTCCAACCAATCTTCATAACTTACTTAACCAACAAAACTTAATTAGCTAAGCAGCTTTACCAGAAATACCATGCTGGTTAATAACCTTCACCAGCTAAGATGTGCTGGTGAACCTCTTGGCTATGCTGCTTTGCTGATCCAAAACAGCACCAAACTTGGAAATTCACGCTAGCTTAAGCTCTCAACAAGGATAATCTTCTCAACAAGGATATTGTCGCATTCAGAGGGGTTAAAAAAAGCTTGACCTTTGACCAGTTTTTGTAATATATCAAAGCAACTGACAGGGTTTAAATGAATAAATGTTGTTTCAATGCTATTTTCACGGTTTAAATCCCTAACACGAGTCCTGAGAAAGAGCCTTCATTCAATAGTCACTGACCAGTTTGCTACATCTTTCAGTTCCAACACCATAGCAACAGGTTATCTGATCACCAAAAGCCATAAACACTCATCAGTTTCACACACACGAGTCATTAGAGTTTTCTGTTATTCATGTTGTTTGATGATGGATGAAAACAGCTGCGTTTAAAAGTCAACCAAGTCCAAGAATGAACAAATGATACATAACGAATGGGGGCAGTTTGCTTTCTGAAGCACACCCATTAATAATTTACATGACCTCCAAATAATAAATTAACAAATGAATAAATAAACAAGCAGGCAAGCAAACATCAACAAACCCGTTTTATTTTTTTCTCCCCCATTATGGAAAAATATCACTGATATAATTTAGGCTTTTTTACAGAATTAGTCCTTGTGAGGGCTTAATCAGTTTATTTTTGTCTCTCAATTGCGGCTTTCAGAAACTCAACAGTCTTGTTACTTTATCCGAGTGACAATTGTTCTCTTTCAGTGAAACGTAGTTTCTCTGAGTTTCCAGAGCAGAACCTTTCCGGTCCCAGTCTCATGGCTGAAAAGCACAAAGATAAAGCACAAAAGGGCTTGGCAAAGGTGGACGTAAATGGACAGCACAGTGTTTTGCAAAGTGGGCACTGATAGAGAACGTGCACGGTTACAGCACAGTGGCGTTGTGCCCTTCCATTTTCGGCAGTCTGGAGTCCTGCACTGTACCCATGGTGACCAAAAGCGGGCGGCTGTCCTCAGGGCCGCTGGCCCGAGCTAAAGAGATGGGCCTCTGCTGGCCAGGATGAGTCGGGGGAGGCTGGGGCCCCGGCATGGGCTCCATGGGCAGGCCCTGCTCCTGGTAGCCATACCCGATGTTCCCACATGGGAAGCGCCGTAGTCTGTAGAGTGGAACCGGTGCTAGGCTGGCCGAATCCAGAAGTAAAGGGGTCGGGACAGGTGGGGGAGGAGGGGGCAAAAGCGGTCGACACAGGCCTTGTTGTTGCTGCTGCTGCTGCTGTTGGCGCTGGAGCTGCTGTTGGTACTGCTGCTGTTTGTGCTGTTGCTGCAGGCCCAGAGCTTCAGCTACTGTCACAGTCCGGCCTGCTTGTTCCTGCCCTTCACCTGGGATCCGTGGGCCGCTTGTCTGACTTTGTGCCTGGGCCTGCTGTCTCTTCTGTTGCTGCTGTAGAAACCACGAGCCATAGGTGGGGTTCCACAGGTTGGTGGGCTTCCCGTTACGGCTCTCCTTCTCCGATAGGTGGGCCTGCATGAAGCCCAAATTCACATGCCCGCCATCTTGGGTGGTCAAGGGAGTTGCAGAGGAAGGTTTGGTAGCTGGTATAGGGGCAGTGACTACCGGTGGTTGGTGGTGGTGATGGGGGTGAGGCTGAGATTGGGGAGCGGGTGGGAGTTTGCTCTCAGAGGGGTGGCTGGCCATGAGAACGGCCTCCCCATCTCTCTTAGGCTGATCGGAATGGGCGGCAGATGAAGCATCCTCGGTGCCCTGAGGGGTTACAAGCAAGGAGGGGGCTGATGGGTCATCGGGACGCATGGGTACCCTCTCCTCTTCCTCAGGGATGGGGCCGTACTCGACAGGCAAAGGCACATTCACCACATCTGGGTCCTAGGGGAATTGGAAAGTCTGTAATTTATCCAGCAGTCAAACTTCCCAGTTACAAAATAAAATAATAGTAAATCCTAGCATAATAATAAATTAGATTAAAAACACTGAAAAGATAGTATTGTACCTTATTTGGAATCCAATATTTTACACAAATTAAATTAAATTAATGAATTAAGAAGATTAAATTGTGGAATTGAGTGTTTGATGTGCACGGCTGTATTCTGCATGCTTTGGCAAATTCCCTGTGCACAGTATACATAATGTATATTGCAATACAGAAATGTTAAAATGCAGCTTCAAACAAACCTACTGTTGCCCAGCATTAACAGACAAGGTTATAAGATGTAGTACCTGCAGACAATAGTCAATCCTCTCCAGAATAGTTGAGAAGTTTGGTCTGTCTTCTGGTTGATGCTGCCAACTCTGTGTCATTATCCGGTACCTATTTTACAAACAAAATATTTGTGTTCATTTCAAGATTTTATCAATTTAAGAGAGAAAAAATAAAAAAACATTTTGTTCCCTCTCAGTTTTGTTTCAATAAGCAGCTCTGCAAGATGGTCCCTAGGTTAGATTAGGAACATAATTAAATCAAAACTTCAGAAGTTTGATTATTAGTAGTATTATTTGAAGACTTTATTTTAAGCGATAGAGTACATACAACAGTGGAAAGGTTAATGAGGACTGAAAAATTGAGAATCAAAATTCATATTCATTAGACAATAACAGATTCTTGACATTTAAGAATACAGATTATTGCTGGCCAACAATCCGTTTCTGTTATATGGAAGTGCTGTATAAATATCTTGCATATTTGAATTTAAGAGTCCACTCACACTGGCCCGGGGCAGTTTTTAGGTGGGTCCATCCGGCCTCCATTAGTAACAAACTCCAACACCTCTTGGTTACTGCGGCTGGGGTATGGCATATAGCCCAGTGAGAAGATCTCCCACAGCAGAACACCAAATGACCTGAAAAACAAGTCGAAAGGAGAGAAAGTGAAGAGTAGAGTAGAGAAATGAAAGCATAGTAATTATGGAAAGAATCGTATTAGAGTGTGAAAAACAGTGGGGTTGCAATAGCATATGACAGAACTTGAAGCAAATGAATCTTTTAAATATGTAATTATATTACAGCGCTCACCATGTATCTGTTTTTGAGGTAAAGATTCCCTCCATAAAGGCCTCGGGAGGCATCCATTTGACTGGCAGCATAGCACGGCCTCCTTTCCTGTAATAGCTGGCTCTGAGGAAAAATAAATTGCCAGACAAAAGAAGAGACATTGTTATGAACGCCCACAGTAGACAGCAGCAGAGTGGAGTGACTTATTAACTCCAGTCACAGATCAGAGAATGAAAAAACACTGGAAAATGAAAGGAGCAAAAATTATGTAAAGACGTAAATGAGAAACTCAGTCCATGTACGACTTATGTAAGAATGGAAAGATGGCCATTTTTCGTAGGTGATTCATATTCATGTTCTCTTAAAGGCAGGGTATGTGATTTTTCAAAAACACTTTAGAAAACTGATTCGGGCCGAATAGCAAAACAAACTTGTAGCCAATCAGCAATAAGGGGCGTGTCTACTCGTGATGTGGAGGAGAGAGCTTTCAGTGCATGGGACGGACATTAGCCGAGCCGAGCGACAGAAAGATGGAGATGGCGGATAAAAAACAAAAGAGGAAAACGTCTGCGGAACGATAAGGCAAGAAGTAGGACCCGTGTAAATATCGGATCAGCTTTCCAGCGCTGGAGAGAACACAAGGAGCGGAGGCCTGCGATCGGACACCGAGGTTGCTTTGTTTCTTCTCAATAGGTGAGTAACACCGTGTCTACAACAGCTAAAGTCTGCCTACACTAGACGCGATCAAACGACCGTTGAAAACCATTTGAAATCGGTGTCAGCACGTCATAAATAGAACCCGGCAGCAGCTTTCTGTCGGGGATTTGTTGCGCCGAGCCGCTCACGTCCGTAGACACGGTGTAACATTGGTTTTGCTTTGTTTCACAGAACTAATCGTTCCCTGGGTTGCGTATGTATATGTGGGGCGGAGCTATCAAAATAGGGGCAAGACCCTTTTGGGGTAGAGGCGTGTTTGTTTTGGTGATTTCAAATATCAACATTGGCTACCAGAAATCACTTACTCTGCCTTTAAGCCTTGACTTGATCCTTGGTAACTAAATTAATCACTAAATGAAAACTGTGATTAATTGCATGCATGTGGCTTGGCTTTGTGTTAAAAGAAGTAAAAGTATTATAAAATAATAACTACTCATTTAAAATTGGAGTCTATTGCTTGAATAACCTAATTGTTCTTTCCCGCCAGGTTAGAATTAAAGAGACAAATTTACTTATTAAATGGTTTATGGAAAGTGACTGATCTAGTTCATTTGAGATGCATTACTTACTTTGCATGTTTTACTCATGATATAAAAAATGCAGATGTTCTAGACAAGCAAAGTAAAATAACTAAATGTTGAATCTACACCCAGCCACTAGATCTGTCTGTCTTGGATCCTAACCGTCAATCCCTTTTAGAGAGGTGGGTTAGGGTAGATGGAGTTAGGGTAAATGAAAAGTGACTGATCTAGTTCACTGGAGATGCCTTATAAAAGGAAATTCAGGGAACCTATTACCACCATAGACTGCAAAAAAAGATGGACGACTCGTCTCCATTTCCTTCCACTATAGAAAAGTGAAGCCAAAACATCTCAGTATGGCCGCTGTCATCTTTCGAAAATGACGTCATTTGGAGCCAGAGTCGTTGAAGCAGTGATTAATTTGGAGCCTGAGTCTGCGTAGTAGTGATCATAAGGAGCTCCCTAAATGGTAAGTTATTCATTAATTACTAGTGTGTTTGTGCTCAACTAATGCTTAATTGTGAACAAGTTAACCATTAATTAATGCTTAACTAATGCATTATTCTGGACCCCTATTCTAAAGTGTTACCAAATCGGAATATCTTCTTCACTATCTTCGTATTTTGAATGTCAGTTAAAAAAAGAGCTATGTGTATCGCTGTATCTTTCTAGATCTAAAGAGCAATTGATTGGACAAAAAGCTGTGTAGTGTAACACGAGTTATCAATATTTCAGTCCATTTTCCTAGAAAATAACAACTGAAAATATTATATGTGAATTCCCGCTAAAAGTGAATTTCAACATTTGAGTACACAAAACGAAGCCTTATAATTAGTCTGATTTAGGATCGAGGTGTTTCAGGAAGTTTACAGGATGCTCCTGTATAAAAACAGCATGACAGGACAGACTTCAAAATGTAGGGATTTTAATATTCAACAGATAAGTACACTCCATATTAATTTAGTGCTCAAAACTCTCATAGTCCTCACAAAACAATGAATTATGCATAAAAACAGGAACACTGCTCAACACAAACATCTGGACTCCAACAGTAACTGTCTTAAAATGTATTGTTCAATGTGCTGAATTTAAAACACAAGCTGTGTTTTGATGGCTATAGTGGTTTTATTTATTTTATTTTTTAACTTCTTATTTTAAAGCATGATGCTTTAAAGAAGACCAGTTTAGAGATACAGCATGTCAGAAAGTTTTAGCTTGCTATCATTCTAACAGTTTGCTGTCAACACGTTAAAACCCTTTCCAAGACACTGCATCTCTAAATTCATCCTCTTTAAAGCACCATGCTAAAAAAGATTTAAGGTAAAAAAGAAAACTACACTCTTAAAAATAAAGGTGCTTCAAAAGGTTCTTCAAGCGATGCCATAGAAGAACCATTTTTGGTTCCACAAAGAACCATTCAGTCAAAGGTTCTTTAAAGAACCATCTCTTTCTTACCTTTTTGTAATCTGAAGAACCTTATTTCGCCACAAAGAACCTTTTGTGAAACAGAAAGGTTCTTCAGATGTTAAAGGTTCTTTATGGAACCATTTAGACAAAAAGGTTCTTCTATGGCATCGTGAAGCACCTTTATTTTTAAGAGTGTAGCTTGGAAAACTGCAGTTTAAAAATAGCTTCCCCATAAACAAATACGTAAGTCGGTCAGTCAGACTGCTTGCATTACAATAATTGATTATTTAAAGGGGATTCTGAATATAGATTTAAATGGTTTTGGGTGTGGGTATCTGTATGTGCTGAAATTGTCACATCCGGGACAAAGAGGCAAACAAACAGGTTAACGTAAGGCAGCGAGTTTATTAATAGGAACTGAGGAGGAGCTTCCAACAGAAAAGAGTCAAACACTGTATGTTTTATTGGGAGATTTAAACAATACGTTTGACAGTCAAACAAGTTACATCAAATTTCAACAAAAAGACTCAATTTCACACATTTTTTTATTATTCATTTACAACACTTACACTACATTATTATACTCATCTGATGATAGCTTAATACATCTGTGATTATTAAACATTTATTACAAGTGAAAACATTAAGTCCCATATAGACATTTTACCATTACTGATTCATCATGTGATATAACAAGATACTGTGCAGAATCTGTGTATGACTCTTAAAAATAAAGGTGCTTCAAAAGGTTCTTCGCAGCGATGCCATAGAAGAACCATTTTTGGTTCCACAAAGAACCATTCAGTCAAAGGTTCTTTAAAGAACCATCTCTTTCTTACCTTTTTGTAATCTGAAGAACCTTATTTCGCCACAAAGAACCTTTTGTGAAACAGAAAGGTTCTTCAGATGTTAAAGGTTCTTTATGAAACCATTTAGACAAAAAGGTTCTTCTATGGCATCGTGAAGCACCTTTATTTTTAAGAGTAGTCGACTTCACTAATTGGTTGTTGGGAGACTAGTCGACCATCCTGACCTATCCCTAGTGATAATGAAAAGCTGTCAAAAAATCGAAGTAACCTCTAAGAGTTAACTATGTCTATTAAAATTGACCACATCTCAGCATCCTCAATTTTCAGAAGATGAGATGAAATATTCACTCAAACCTCCACTGTAATTCTTCCCATCCCCAATCGCATTTTCATCACAGCTCTGAACTCCTGTCCTGTCTGCAGAGCTCAGTGTGAAAATGCAAGAAAAATCTACATCAGCAATTAGAGCGCACTTTTATGGCAACACTCCGGAGGGAGTAAAACAAGGCTCCATCTTTTCCCATTAGATTTTCTCTGGCTAATAATACCCTTCTTTCACCAGCTAAGCAAGCCATTTTCAGACACGTTCCAGTAGCGGTTGAGAGGCAGTCAAGCTCACAAATCCTTTCACTTCGTCACACTGGTGCTGCCATCTCATCTGATGAATAATGTCAAAGGATAATTCATACTAGTGCCAGATTGTGTGATTGGTCCGGTGCTAAGGCAAGTTAAGATTTTGTTGTTGTTAACCTAAAATGATCTTGACAGTCACTGTGCTTTTTTAGCATTATGGATAAAAAGCAGCTGTGACATTTTGATAATAGCTCCCTCAGTACACCTTCCACAGAAAAAAAAAAAGTCAAAAGAATTTTGAGCGACACTTCACAAATGATACATGCATCAGTTTTATGTAATTGGCTCAGTTCAAATTAGTTCAGAACATTAGCCTACTGCTAAATGCACACTGCACACTATATGGGTAAAGAGCGACAAATGATAAAATGGGACAGTTATGCTTGAATATGATTTTAACTTATCTTTGAGGGACCAGCAACAAATTTACAACAAACAGCAGGAAAACCAATGGTGGGGAAAATTCTAGTTTTAAAAAGATTTACCTCAGATTTATAAGTTCACTTAATATTTGTAAATGTTACATATATTTCATGACGTGAAATGTACCAGAAAATTAAAAAGTGATTACAAATAATTTATATATATATATATATATATATATATTGTGCAGGCTACTGTCTGGCTTGTTTAAGAGGGAAAATTATCCTCTTATCCCATTTTATCCTA